TTCTTCGGTTACGTCTTTATCTTCATCATCATCTGTGTTTTTGTTATCATTATCTTCGTTGTCCTCATCCTCATCTGATGAATCAGATTCATCCGAACTCAACCTTAGCCTGTTCAAAAATTTACGCTTCCTTTTCCGAAGTCTTAATGGTCTCCTCTGCACAGCATTGCTGTCTTCATCAAGATCATCACTGTCATATGAAAGATCAGGCAAATCCTCTGAAGTCTGCTCCACTTTGGCAGGAGATGACTCGGTTTGATTACTCAACTCCTCATCAATCCGATCAGGTGTCTGTCTTTTGGGCTGCGGTGAATCACTGTCATCAGTAGTGATCCGCTTAGCTCCAGGTGAACTTAGAGATGAGTTTGAGACATTATAGTTTGTGACAGTCCCAACATACACAGAACCTGATTGGACATTAACGGGGTTGTTCATCTCTATCTCTGTGTCTAAGTTCAACAGTTCATCAGAATCTCCGATAGTGTCGGTTTTGTCTGAAGATGTTTCAGCAAATTTTGGTGTGCTGTCCTCACCATTGTCTATTAGCATGTCATCCAGACCCTTTTTGCTGCTAGTGTCAATGTCTCTGAGATCATCTTTATAAAAGGGATTATCTTCAGACTTTGGTTGGCCAACACATTCTGAGAGGGATGGCACAGCACTGTCATTCAACCAATCAGAATCTTTCATTTCTGAATCTGAGGTACTATCTTTTAAATTGTTGAGTGTCAATTTGACCACATCAGAGTTATCAGGCTCATCTGGTTTAGAGCTAGACAGGTAACTGTTAACTGTAATTCCACTGTCGTTCTTTTTTAAAATCTGGATGTAGCAAGCATCTCCATTACCATTTTCATTTGGCTGTTCTAATGAGTCCCCATCTTTATCTCCGTCCTCCTCCATTTTCTGGGTTTCTCCATCACATGTGGCGGGTGAGGCCATCATGTCACTGTTTTATAAAAAGAAAGTTATAGTAAATTAAATAAAAATTGAGTTTTAAGTGAAAAACGTAAGAACATTTTAGTAAAACATTTTAATGTCAATGTACTACACATTTTAATACAACCATCCTCAAAGTAAAATAATATCGATCCATGCAGAGCTCTTATTTTTGGTGTTGCACTTAAATTGTTTAAGGGTTAAAAGCCACCCCCCCCCTCCCCACATGGTTTAATAATTAAAAAATTGAAGCTATTTATGTATTTTTTTTAATTTTTATTATTGAAATTTCAATTATGTTGTTGTATTAAAATGTGTCTAAAATAGACCTAAGACTTAATAATTTGTTCAAATATAAACACACAAAAATCAGAAAATAAAAGCAAATTGACAACTTATGTGATATTCCTCCCACTCCCTAAGTTTCAGTCTCAAATACTCAGAGACGTGAAGAGTTTCAATAATTTACAATCAAATTAGACTTGTTTTAATATAGCCAACTCTAATAAATTTATGATAGCATAATACTTAGCCTAAACCAATGGTCAGCAAGGAAGAGATGTGGCTCTTTATTTGACTATTGATCTGATGTTGTTAAAAAATATGCAGCATGATCTCCACTCCTAGAAGAGGTGCCTTTGCTGATTAGGCCATGTAAAAAAAAAAGCATGGAGAACAGCAGCTGGGAGTACTCTGAAGGATCTGCTGCACTGAGAATTGTCATAGAGGACAAGACATATTGGATGGCCATCACTGCGTTATAATGATGTATGTAAAAGAAAAATAAATGAAGCCAAAATAAAAATTGACAAACGAGTATTTCTGATCACCATTACAGCTGGCGAACAGCAGTGAAGGTGGGAATACAACAGGCAGAAGATGCAAAAAATGAAGCCTTTGTTAGTTTGTAACAAAAAGAGAATGATTTGTAAGAAAGGCCAAAGTAAACCAGCAGTCATGGTTCTCCTGTGAGAAGTGCGGTCAAGACTGCTACTTCAGAATCTGCCAGGAAAATGCCAATAACACAGAAGCTACACTTACACCATCATCCAACAAAGGCAGAAGTAGGATGCCTCAAAAATGACATGCAGCTGCCAATTATATATTTTATAATTATCGATAGGGCTAGATATAATTTATCAAATGTTTATCCTCGCTTAAAAGTATGCCTACCCAAGACCTAAGTCATAGTCCGCATAGTATAGGTTTAACCCAGTAATGGCTAATCACATGCCTACTTATACTAAGAAGCATAGCAGGCATAGGGTTCATGAGCTTTTTTAATACACCTAGTCTAGTCTAGGTAAGCCTAGTCTTATTAATTAATCAATTAACGATAACAACACCAACCAACTCATTCAACAGTCATATGTGATACTCACTGATACTAGCAAGAAAAAAAGAAATTAGCCTATACTATACTACCTCTGGCTCTGGTTATAGCCTGCCTATAGTATAGTACGATATAAAATACACAATGTCAGCGTTATAATAATAATATCAGTATCCCACTGTTGTTTAAAATTGCGACGAAGTAGTTGAAAAAGAAAGACGTAAGTACTTTTAAAATTGTCTAATGACCACAACAAGCACAAAGTATACTACACTGCCAGCATCAAGAAGCACACCACACATAATCATTATCATACTTGATTAAATAAGTTTTGTCTATTTCTTACAAGAAGAACCTTATCTATGTATTGAATATAATGGGAATAGTCCTAACTAAGAGACTAAGTTAATAATGTACCGTGTTTCTATTTCTAACGACAATCACTGTTTGTATGAATATGTTGATTCCTGCAGGACTAGACTACTCTGTTGTGAGTGTTGTGCTTTTTATTTTTTCTTTCAGATTTTTCTACTTGTAGTCTGAAGTGAATTCAAAACAGGCAGTGATTCGATGTTAAAAATTGATAATGGAAAAATTGAATTATTTTAACAACCTATTCAATAAAAATAACTTCAAATGTATTTAATTTGATTATAATATTGCATAATATAATTTAATAGCGTTCGGAGTTTTGATCCTTGTACAAAACAGTGGATGAGCTCAACCTTGACCTTACATGGGCAAAATCCCTACCTTACTAATGACAATAATTTTGTCGGTATTTTTTTAATAAAAATTTTATCTTTAAACTGAAATCAATAAAATGTTTATAACGCTTTTGTACCTAATGAAATGTTTTATTATAGAGTTATAAAATGTGAATGTTACAAAAGGAACAGTTGAGGCGACAACACTTGATACAGTTGTGTCTATTGCCTCGTGCCCTCCAAGCCCCAGTTCCTGAGACCCTCACTAAGTAGCCCTTGCAACCAGTGAAATATCCTCATCAACACCAGGCACAGAAAAATTGCAAATCCCCTCTATATTTATAGCAGCCAGAATGATCAATAAATTGATAGTAGGCCCTTTACATATAGAAGAAGAATATGGTTATAGTTAAGTGCCGTCCATTAATTACGCCAGCACAATTTTTTGACTCCTCTCCCAGACACACTTTTTTTTTGCCAACAACTGTAAAACTTTCAGTAACCCCCCCCCCACCAACCTAAGTAATAACGTAAAAATTTGTTTACCCCCCCCCCCAAAGAATTATAATATAAATAAATATGTAAATACATTTTACTTTGGGATGATCTATTTTAATAACACAAAATTGTAGGAAAAACATTTTATTGCATCTTTAGCTTATTAATCAACAAGTTAAAAAGTTTTTACACTTAAATTTTATAATGCAGAATCAATGAAAATGTTGTTAAAGACTAAATATTATTGTTTGTGGAAGCAGAAATATGATTATTGTCAGTATAGCTGACAATTGTTTGTACCATAGTTTCGCTGCTGTTATCTTCCCAGTGAGTAGCCAGGTGTTGCTCTATCGTAACAATGGCCATAGTAGCTGATTTATCATTTTCATTTTGCGGAGCTAATATACCAGACAAGTCAACATCATCCTCATCCAACCATTCAGCTCTTAAAATAGAAGTATTGTCAGTATAAGCAATAATTGTCATAAGCTCTCTCTGTCTCCTGGCAGCTGCTTGCATCAGTCGAATCCTTTTTTGTTGAGGAGCAGGTGGTAATTTCTTGTACATTGTTAGTGCTGTTGAACTTGTTATTTCAACATGGCCTGTGATGCAAATAGATGTTAAAGATTTTGCAAATCCATTCAAGCATCGATGTTATTGTTATTATTGCTACTCACTTTACTTTGCCCTAACTCTCAAAACATCATATTCCTACTCTATCAATACCATTTATCTTGACCGCACATGACTCTTGAACCGTGTCCTTTCTCCATACCTGCAACATGACCACAAACATACTGCCCTAGTCATTTGCGACAAATAGAATATACTGTTGAAGAGAGGTAAACTTTTGACTCCTCTTGCATTAACTAAATGTGCTCAAATTTTTACCAGCCACTGCAGTCATCAGCAGTGCACAGACAGACATGCATTAAATAAATCTTATATTGTTAAAAGCCTAAAAATTATATAACTATTATAATGTACATTTATTAAATTTGTTAAAATAATTTAATAACCAGTCAATTTTTAAGATTACAATTTTAATAGAGAAAACATGATTGTTGACTTCAACTAATCTACCTCCTCCCCTTTGTCAACAATTGTCAAACATTTCCACCCCACCCCCAATTTTGTTGACAAAATTATGGACGAACTCTAAGTTATTTTAAGCTCATTTTAATATACTTCTACTACTTCTAATATTAATTAATAAATAAATTGTTTTAAATGTTTGATTTTAATTTAAAATAAAAATTGTATGTAAATGGATGTCATATTTCATCAAACGTTAAACAAAGAATCATATTTTAAAAATAGTTTTCTAACTTAAACATTTAAGATGTTTTCTATTAAGTAAAATTTCAATCAATTTATTTTTAATGCATAAGTTTAACTTTGGAGTATGCATTAACTAAATTATTATGGTAGGTAAGGTATTTGATTATAGACAAATATTTTTTATCTCCGGAAGTTTATTTATTTACTGCCGGAATTTAAAATGGATGCAATAACAAGCTAGAATGGACTCATGCGAAAAACCAGAGCGATTATTTTCTAATTTATCGCGAGAATTGAAGTCTATAGCATTAAATAACATCCAGTATTTTCAGAATGGCAAACAAAGTCATCATGCTAAATTCCATATGACATTTAGCTTGCTCCGGGAATATCTTGATATAGGAATAGAACCAAGTTATCTCGAGATTTGTAAACATTTGAATTTGTGTAGTTACGACTTTTCTGAGCAAGTAAAAGGAAATGGTTACCGTAGTTTGCTTAGAGTGGTTCATAAATGCTGTGTACATTTACTTCAGTTGTGTAAATATATTTCTTCTGTTCGAGATTCCATATTGTTTCGTAAAAGGTTTTATGCAAAGGAACTTGAAAGGTTTGTGTAGAATATATTATTCAAAATTATACTAGTCCTAGTACTACTAATTACTAGCAGCCTTTCTCACATACCTACTGACAGAGTCATCACCTGGTACAGGGTTTAGCTGTTTTTATCCATGTTCCATGCCCATGGAACCTTAATAAAACAATAACTAACTTTTAATTGGGTCTAGTCACTCTAGTGAAGCGAACGTTTCGCAGTCTCGAGTCCCATTATTTGCACCTCATTAGTCATTAGCCCCACCAGTGGCATGTGTGCAAGATAAGTGTTGAGAGACAGAGAGCATATATCATCTGTAAACTTGGGTGGGGGGGGGGGGGGGCTTAAGACCACTTTGTTAGAGCACGCCAGGCTAAAGGGTGAGATCAGAGCTGAGCTATTTTATTATTGGAATAAGTCAATGCATGTACAAAGAGACATTTATAGAAGTAAGTGAATTAGAACATATTCATCCAATCATGACATAGGCAGATGGGGACATTGTATCACTCTGTTGACACACACCTGCACAGAAGGGGTTTGTTTTATTTCAATTATATGATGTCCAGGCATGCATGGGAGGATAGTTAGAGTTAGGGAATCATTGGTTGATCTGTTTTATTAATATTGTAAAATGTTTATCCAAGCACATCTGAGAATATCAAAATATGAAAGCAAATTAAGAAGATTTGTAAGAAGGTAGAAATTAAGGGCAATTAAGATTAGAGTTATCTTTTTTCTCCAAACCTGATGTTTCTAGAGAAGTGAACAAAAAACATCATCACACTTCTTATTCACAAATTATTTACCAGGATTCTGTTTGATTTCTTTGCTTTTTTTAAAGAGTAAACACTTTTTTGTTCAAATAGTATAGGCCTACATTAAAAACAGACTGGAAATTCATATCTGTTATGTTTTATATAGGTTTTATGTTGCCTATTGGCCAGAGTTAGCGGTAAAAATCATAGTGGTTGAAGAAGATGTATAAAAATAATTGGTCCACAAAATTAAAAGTTTGGAAAATGTGAATCTCTAAAATGATACAGATTTTACTTATTTTAATAGGAGGGCCTACCTTTAGTCTAAAAACAATAAATGATTAATGGGCATATGCTTTTAAAGTTTAAATGTAGGTCTGTGCTAATAGGTTATAAAATTTTCAAGTAATAAAGCATTGCGAATTTATTTCCTGACTGTTATTATTGACATACATAGGCTATGACAGGCAAAGGTATGTACTTCCTTATGTATCTTTGAGTATGCCTAAGCCTAGCCAACAGACATATAATTTTGTTAAAACTTGACTAATTTATTACAAATAGTGCCTATCATAATGTTCTGAGTATATGCTGATTTGTTTTCACATAATGTTAGTCTTTAAACTAGGGTTGCAGCCTACAGCCCGTATGTAAAATTTGTAAAAAAAAAATTCAAGTATATACAAACACCAAACTTTTATGCTGCAACTTATAACCCAGAGCTGCCTCACCTCTTAATTCAAATAATTTTTCAATTACACTCAATGTATGCATCCATTTATTTTTGCACCAAATTTGAAGACTAATAAAGTTATTCTCTATAGAGTAATTTTATATGTGCTCACTAAGAACATTGATTCATTCCATAAATTCTACAATAATTGTTCCACATTTAGCTATGTATCTGCTCTTGGCCAGCTACGAGGTGTGCTCTATTATGCACTTAAACTTATAAATTATTGTCATGATGGAGAACTCTTTGCTGATGAAGACAGACTGAACAATGAGGTTGCTGAACAGTTTGTGGTAGATGTAGAAACACTTTGCCAGGAGTCCTTCTATGGGAGATGTTTGGGATTTCAGGTGAAGAAATAAACTCATTACTACTTGTATGATCAAATGGAAGTGGTTACATTGCTTTTATATGTTTATTGCTATACTTCATGGATGAGTAATGAGATAATTTTGTTTAAAGGTAATATTGCATATGTACGTATAGCATGGAGTTTGAGTCCTAATAAATGTAAACTTGTTTTAACGAATGATTCAAATAATTCAAACATTTTCTTCATTATCAGAACCATTAACCAATGTAATTTTATTTAGTTGTGAAAAAGCTAATTAAGTTTAATGGGTCAAAGTTCGAAGTAAATGTGTTTACAGGCTCTCAACTGCTGACAAAATAATTTTTTTTATAAAATTAGCAAAATTGATACTTGAACAAAGAAGATACTTCGCCAATTAAAAAAATCTTGTGATTAAGATGTATTTGTATTTATAGTTTAGGTAACACTGGACTGCCAAAACATTTGGTACTATAGATTAGGGGTCTGGTCCTGAAAAAGATTGAATATTAAAATAAGACTGATTCAACTCTATTCCATAACATGGACTGAAATGTCAAAAACTGCCATCCATAATGTTATGTTAATGATGTCCACTGATAAAATCTTCAAATGCTTGCAAGGCCTTCAGTAATTTAGAATACATTATAAGTGAATTCCATTGCAACTGACTTGTAGAATAATAATTTCATTTTGCATAGAGTATAAATGAAAGATGACATTAAGTGTGGTTAATTATTATTATTATTGCAGTTGAACACAGTTATGTCGCCGGCCAAGGTGTTTGCCAAAAAGTGTCGAGATAACTGATGATTGTGATAAACAAAAAGCAATATGGCGGCAATATATTAACATGTGCTTGAAATTTCTTTATGTACATGATGTGCGTTAATAAATGAGAATGTACATGCACATGTTTTTGGAGTTTTTCTTTTTACACAACAGCGTTGTTGTGATTTTTTTGATGAAGCAATCCAAAGTAATTATTAAAAACAGAATTCCGACACAGGATTGTCCACCTTGTGACATTGACCAAGACAGTGAAAAATTGTCTGTCTTTATATGTTAGATATAAACAAATTAAATTCAACAAATTTTCTACTAAAATGTGCAGACATGTTTTTAATTCAATATGGCCACCAGATTATGTATCACACAAATCAAAGAATATAAAAATTACTCCATACCAGGATGCATGAAATACATTGATATAGTACCAAATGTTATGAAATTTAATTTTTGGATGTAGTGTCCACTTTTACATGGAATTCACCTGTACCTTTAAGGCCATAGTTCTGCTGCAATTATTCAAAGTTTAAACTTATAGATATCTTTTCATGCTTTTTCAGTTTTGTGAATCCATGCATCGACCTATGCAAGTACTTGCTATTGCCATGGCTTCCTACTCTGAGGGCTACTTAGAAACATCACAAATGATGCAAGTGGCAACCTCAGTTTTCAACAGTGGCAAATATTTCCTGGACCCAGAACTCAGAGCACAGCAGGTTCAGTCAAATTTTAATACCAGTATTTCTATTTATCAGAGACAGAAAAGTGGCACCATAAAACAATTCAACAAAAAATCCCCTTCAAACTTCAAAACTGTGAGGACTCAGTATATAACAATGGCACACATTTTATTAAAGGAAAACTTGTTATGGATTGAATTATCAACTGCAAAGTAATGTCATATTAGAAGTTTTCTGAACACTTATTATGTGATGCTTCTTTAAAATTACTGACAATTTTGTTGTGTCATGTGTATCACAGCCCAGTCACTTTATTGTTCAATTTTAACCCTGAAAAAAATGATTTAAATAATAATTTAAAAAAAATTAATGTACAGAATTAAATGTATCTCGGCAATAATTTAAACAAACAGTACATTTGTTTCTGTTATCACGTGTTAAAACAGTACATTTGCTTCTGTTATCACTTGTTAAAACAGTACATTTATTTCTGTTATCACGTTAAAACAGTACATTTGCTTCTGTTATCACTTGTTAAAACAGTACATTTATTTCTGTTATCACGTTAAAACAGTACATTTGCTTCTGTTATCACTTGTTAAAACAGTACATTTGTTTCTGTTATCACGTTAAAACAGTACATTTGCTTCTGTTATCACTTGTTAAAACAGTACATTTGTTTCTGTTATCACGTTAAAACAGTACATTTTTTTCTGTTATCACTTGTTAAAACAGTACATTTGTTTCTGTTATCACTTGTTAAAACAGTAAATTTATTTCTGTTATCACGTTAAAACAGTACATTTGCTTCTGTTATCACTTGTTAAAACAGTACATTTATTTCTGTTATCACGTTAAAACAGTACATTTGCTTCTGTTATCACTTGATAAAACAGTACATTTGTTTCTGTTATCACGTTAAAACAGTACATTTGCTTCTGTTATCACTTGTTAAAACAGTACATTTGTTTCTGTTATCACGTTAAAACAGTACATTTGCTTCTGTTATCACTTGTTAAAACAGTACATTTGTTTCTGTTATCACGTTAAAACAGTACATTTTTTTCTGTTATCACGTTAAAACAGTACATTTGTTTCTGTTATCACGTTAAAACAGTACATTTGCTTCTGTTATCACTTGTTAAAACAGTACATTTATTTCTGTTATCACGTTAAAACAGTACATTTGCTTCTGTTATCACTTGTTAAAACAGTACATTTATTTCTGTTATCACGTTAAAACAGTACATTTGCTTCTGTTATCACTTGTTAAAACAGTACATTTGTTTCTGTTATCACGTTAAAACAGTACATTTATTTCTGTTATCACGTTAAAACAGTACATTTTTTTCTGTTATCACGTTAAAACAGTACATTTGTTTCTGTTATCACAGGTGGTCAAAGTGACAAGAACAGCTGACATCAAATTCTGCAAAGCTTTTTGGGGGTTTTCAGAGTCTAGCCTGATGCAAGTATGTAGTACCTAACAGTCTCCTCTATCAGAGTCTAGCCAAATGCAAGTATGTAGTACCTAACAGTCTCCTCTATCAGAGTCTAGCCTGATGCAAGTATGTAGTACCTAACAGTCTCCTCTATCAGAGTCTAGCCTGATGCAAGTATGTAGTACCTAACATTCTCCTCTATCAGAGTCTAGCCTGATGCAAGTATGTAGTACCTAACAGTCTCCTCTATCAGAGTCTAGCCTGATGCAAGTATGTAGTACCTAACAGTCTCCTCTATCAGAGTCTAGCCTGATGCAAGTATGTAGTACCTAACAGTCTCCTCTATCAGAGTCTAGCCTGATGCAAGTATGTAGTACCTAACAGTCTCCTCTATCAGAGTCTAGCCTGATGCAAGTATGTAGTACCTAACAGTCTCCTCTATCAGAGTCTAGCCTGATGCAAGTATGTAGTACCTAACAGTCTCCTCTATCAGAGTCTAGCCTGATGCAAGTATGTAGTACCTAACAGTCTCCTCTATCAGAGTCTAGCCTGATGCAAGTATGTAGTACCTAACAGTCTCCTCTATCAGAGTCTAGCCTGATGCAAGTATGTAGTACCTAACAGTCTCCTCTATCAGAGTCTAGCCTGATGCAAGTATGTAGTACCTAACAGTTTCCTCTATCAGAGTCTAGCCTGATGCAAGTATGTAGTACCTAACAGTCTCCTCTATCAGAGTCTAGCCTGATGCAAGTATGTAGTACCTAACAGTTTCCTCTATCAGAGTCTAGCCAAATGCAAGTATGTAGTACCTAACAGTTTCCTCTATCAGAGTCTAGCCAAATGCAAGTATGTAGTACCTAACAGTCTCCTCTATCAGAGTCTAGCCTGATGCAAGTATGTAGTACCTAACAGTCTCCTCTATCAGAGTCTAGCCAAATGCAAGTATGTAGTACCTAACAGTCTCCTCTATCAGAGTCTAGCCAAATGCAAGTATGTAGTACCTAACAGTCTCCTCTATCAGAGTCTAGCCAAATGCAAGTATGTAGTACCTAACAGTCTCCTCTATCAGAGTCTAGCCTAATGCAAGTATGTAGTACCTAACAGTCTCCTCTATCAGAGTCTAGCCTGATGCAAGTATGTAGTACCTAACAGTCTCCTCTATCAGAGTCTAGCCTGATGCAAGTATGTAGTACCTAACAGTCTCCTCTATCAGAGTCTAGCCTGATGCAAGTATGTAGTACCTAACAGTCTCCTCTATCAGAGTCTAGCCTGATGCAAGTATGTAGTACCTAACATTCTCCTCTATCAGAGTCTAGCCTGATGCAAGTATCTAGTACCTAACAGTCTCTGCTATAATAACAAAAATAAAAATTATTTTGTTAAATATTCATTATTATTTATTTCCCAATGTACCATCTCCTGGTGTTGAGGGAAATAGTGGATGTGAGACAAAGGGTAATAGTGGATGTGAGTCAAAGGCCAAATTGGATGTGAGACAAAGGGTAATAGTGGATGTGAGACAAAGGGTAATAGTGGATGTGAGTCAAAGGCCAATTGGATTTAAGACAAAGGGTAATAGTGGATGTGAGTCAAAGGCCAATTGGATGTGAGACAAAGGGCAATAGTGGATGTGAGTCAAAGGCCAATTGGATGTGAGACAAAGGGTAATAGGTGATGTGAGTCAAAGGGATATAGTGGATGTGAGTCAAAGGCTAATTGGATGTGAGACAAAGGGTAATATTGGATGTGAGACAAAGGGTAATATTCGATGTGAATCAAAAAAGGCCAATTGGATGTGAGACAAAGGGTAATATTGGATGTGAGTCAAAGGGTAATTGGATGTGAGACAAAGGGTATTATTTGATGTGAGTCAAAGGCCAATTGGATGTGAGACAAAGGGTAATATTGGATGTGAGAAAAGATTAATTGGCATGGAGAGATCAAATCTTTGAATCTGATTTCTTGTTTTGTTTTAATGCAAGTTAAGGCATGCTGGTCATCTTGGTGGCCAGGAGGCTTGAGATGTCAGATTTCAGAGAAAGAAATTTTTGTCCTATATTATAGTTTCAACCAGATATTTAATATATTGCGTTAAGGACCCTTCCTTCACTCAGCCTGTGGTCTTTGCCAGCTGCATCTTCAAGTGCCAGCAGCGGCTTGTTGTGGGTGTTCAATAGTGTTTTGTAATAATTGGTAGACGGCCAGTAAAGGACACAGAGTAGCTTGTACTTGTAGTGGGTGTTCAATAGTGTTTTGTAATAAGTGGTAGACAGCCAGTAAAGGACACAGTGTAGCTTGTAGTGTGTGTTCAATTGTATTTTGTAATAAGTGGTAGACAGCCAGTAAAGGACACAGAGTAGCTTGTACTTGTAGTGGGTGTTCAATAGTGTTTTGTAATAATTGGTAGACGGCCAGTAAAGGACACAGTGTAGCTTGTAGTGTGTGTTCAATTGTATTTTGTAATAAGTGGTAGACAGCCAGTAAAGGACACAGAGTAGCTTGTACTTGTAGTGGGTGTTCAATAGTGTTTTGTAATAATTGGTAGACGGCCAGTAAAGGACACAGTGTAGCTTGTAGTGTGTGTTCAATTGTATTTTGTAATAAGTGGTAGACAGCCAGTAAAGGACACAGAGTAGCTTGTACTTGTAGTGGGTGTTCAATAGTGTTTTGTAATAATTGGTAGACGGCCAGTAAAGGACACAGTGTAGCTTGTAGTGTGTGTTCAATTGTATTTTGTAATAAGTGGTAGACAGCCAGTAAAGGACACAGAGTAGCTTGTATTTGTAGTGGGTGTTCAATAGTGTTTTGTAATAATTGGTAGACGGCCAGTAAAGGACACAGTGTAGCTTGTAGTGTGTGTTCAGTTGTATTTTGTAATAAGTGGTAGACAGCCAGTAAAGGACACAGAGTAGCTTGTATTTGTAGTGGGTTTTCATTAGTGTTTTGTAATAATTGGTAGACGGCCAGTAAAGGACACAGTGTAGCTTGTAGTGTGTGTTCAGTTGTATTTTGTAATAAGTGGTAGACAGCCAGTAAAGGACACAGAGTAGCTTGTATTTGTAGTGGGTGTTCAATAGTGTTTTGTAATAATTGGTAGACGGCCAGTAAAGGACACAGTGCAGCTTGTAGTGTGTGTTCAATTGTATTTTGTAATAAGTGGTAGACAGCCAGTAAAGGACACAGAGTAGCTTGTATTTGTAGTGGGTGTTCAATAGTGTTTTGTAATAATTGGTAGACGGCCAGTAAAGGACACAGTGCAGCTTGTAGTGTGTGTTCAATTGTATTTTGTAATAAGTGGTAGACAGCCAGTAAAGGACACAGAGTAGCTTGTATTTGTAGTGGGTGTTCAATAGTGTTTTGTAATAATTGGTAGACGGCCAGTAAAGGACACAGTGTAGCTTGTAGTGTGTGTTCAGTTGTATTTTGTAATAAGTGGTAGACAGCCAGTAAAGCACACAGTGCAGCTTGTAGCAGACCTGTTTGCTCTTACGATTTTGTAATAATTGGTAGACGGCCAGTAAAGGACACAGTGTAGCTTGTAGTGTGTGTTCAATTGTATTTTGTAATAAGTGGTAGACAGCCAGTAAAGCACACAGTGCAGCTTGTAGCAGACCTTTTTGCTCTTACGATTTTGGCGAACATTGTATAATTTTGAAGTTTATACATTATATATACTGTATGTTTATTTTTTACTATTAATATAAGGTATTGAACGACTTTGTGATGATATTGTACGATTTTGAGGGTAAACAGGTTGTTGTAGTGTGTGTTCAATATTGTTATGTCATAAGTGGTAGACACCCAAAGAAGCACAGAGTTTGCAAGTGGTCAGGGCAGCCTAAAAGTTTGAGAATCACTCAATAGATACCAAAGTTGAAATTAAAAGTTTAGATTTTCTCATGGCTAACATTTTCATACCATATCATATTTGAAAGGTAAACATTTCTCTTATTTTAGCAACTGCCTCTCTTTGTGTGTCCATCTGTTGATGTCAATGAGGTCATCACTCTGGGACCAGATGCCTTTGAACTGCCTTTGATTGATGGCAGCGACACTGTTGTAATCACTCCCCCCTGTGCCCACACCGGCCCTGGTCACGTCCACACAAGACTGATCTCGGCCAATTTAAGGGAGGGTCAGGTAGGTCTTATCAACCTAAACACCTGTGTGCATTTCGTATAGTGTATGGTTATCAGTGAGCGCACCTTGCTTTAACCCTAAAGCGTCCATAAATGTCCAATAGTTTTGCTTACACTCTGTTGCATCTTACACTGCGTTGTTTACTTTCATCAAACTCTAGCACATATGAAACTCATAAAATTTCCGTTCAAACCAAGAAGTTCTTTTAAATTTATGTCACTTCTGTACTACGCCTCGTTTAATTTTCTGAAATTAAAATATTGTTTTTTAAATTGAATGACATGATAGCTGACAATATATTGATTTAATGGCTAGGCATTTTTATGGTTGCTGAGAGTAGAATATTTTTATCTAATTATGATAAAGTCTCCATTTAAGTAAGTTGTTGATTTTTTATTAGATTTTAAATAACAATTTTTTGTGTTATTTTTACTAAGGTATATTATAAGACAATTTTCATGCAAAATAATTTTTAGCCTCTTCTCTTAAAGCCAGTAGGTTAGTGCATTTACTTCATTTTAGCCTCTTCTCTGTAAGCAAGTAGATCAGTGCATTTGCTTCATTTTAGCCTCTTCTCTGTAAGCAAGTAGATCAGTGCATTTGCTTCATTTAAGCCTCTTCTCTGTAAGCAAGTAGATCAGTGCATTTGCTTCATTTAAGCCTCTTCTCTGTAAGCAAGTAGATCAGTGCATTTACTTCATTTTAGCCTCTTCTCTGTAAGCAAGTAGATCAGTGTATTTACTTCATTTTAGCCTCTTCTCTGTAAGCAAGTAGATCAGTGCATTTGCTTCTTAGTCTTTTTTCCCTCTCTAAACAAGAAATTCCAGCGCACATAATGTTCACTTCCTCTCACTCCAGCAAACCTTGAAGAAAGCCACCAAAGCCAAATCTCCAGCATCAGCAAAACCCAACTCTGCCGGTTTGATCATTCATATCCATGGAGGTGGCTTTGTGGCCCAATCATCTAAATCTCACGAGGTAACTTTTTACATCTGTAAACACTTTGTTTTCTTTTTTTACTTGGGCATTAATTGTTTCTCTGTTGTTTTATTTCTTAGTATAAAATATGTGGCGGCATAAGCAGACGATGATTTTAATCCCGCATTAAAATGGCGGCAGTCTTCCAACTTTAGGCATTAAAGTTTTTTTAAATCAAGTTTCATCTTTTTCCCAAAGAAAAGTTACTTTTCCCTGTCCATTCCACCCACCCACCCACCCTTGCATCCACACTGTTGGTACATTTGAGCACATTACCAAGGCAGACGAGGTGTCAGTGCCCAATGCTGCTTTAAAAGTTGTGTGAAAGTGTACATGTAGTGGGGAAAGCCACTCAGAACCAACAGAGTTTTGGTTGTTTACACATTTTTTTATTTTCAAAATGGTCAATGCTCCCAGCCACTGCATTGGTGTAATCTCTTTGGCAAGTTTCGGTGTGTCATAAGCTCTGCAAAAATAATCAACCTTAATATTTAAGTACTGTCATTAATATGGACATTAAAAATTGGATTACAAAACCATCTGGTAAGATGATATTCACAAATTCAGTTAGTCTATCCTGCCTAACAGTTCTGTTCTTGTGTTTTTGTCCAGGTCTACCTGCGAGAATGGGCAGTAACTATTGATGCACCAATTTTGTCTGTGGATTATTCACTTGCCCCTGAGTTGCCTTTCCCACGTGCCCTAGAAGAATGTTTCTATGCGTATTCCTGGGCTGTTCTTAACTGTGAGCAGTTGGGTGAGTTGGCGATTGAATGGCACAGGGGTGTTGGATGATGGATTATTACTGGATAGCATTGTGTAAAAATATGGCTGCAAAAAGAAAAAATGTTAAAAGCTAAACTTTGCCTTTAAGTCAGCTAAAGTTTGAACTAGATATAGAGAGATTGAACCCTTGACATGTATGGGGCTTGGTATGTGATGTATTTACTGTGCTACATCAGGTTCCACTGGTGAGAAGATTCTGATTGTCGGAGACAGTGCTGGGGGAAATCTAGCCATCGCCACCGCCATGCGAGCTGCATCATTTGGGATCAGGCCACCGGACGCTGTAGTGGGGGTCTATCCCTGCACCGTGGTCAGATACACACTGTCCCCTGCCAGGCTACTCAGCCTGTTAGATCCAGTGTTGCCAGTTGGCCTTATCACAAGGTGTTTAGCAGGTAAATTTCATGTTGGTGGCAGTTTATCCATCATAGCAGGTGAAATATAGATTCCATGTTGGTGGCAGTTTATCCATCATAGCAGGTGAAATATAGATTCCATGTTGGTGGCAGTTTATCCATCATGGCAGGTAAATATAAATTCCATGTTGGTGGCAGTTTATCCATCATGGCAGGTAAATATAGATTCCATGTTGGTGGCAGTTTATCCATCATGGCAGGTAAATATAGATTCCATGTTGGTGGCAGGTTATTTATTTATTTATTTATTTTGGCATTTTTTTATAGCTCTAAGCGCTTTACAATTATTAAAAATATGTAAACTATAAACTGCTAAAGTAAAATGAAAAGGAAAAAACCAGAGACACTAGAATAGTAACTACAATGTGAAAAATAAAATAATAAAGGTTATCCATCATGGCAGGTAAATATAGATTCCATGTTGGTGGCAGGTTATCCATCAGTGCAAGGGCTGTCACCTTTTTTAGAATAAAGACTAAAAAAAAAAGGTGACCATAGGTTGTGTACCTTGACACTTCCATCCTGAAACTACTTTAACTGTATTGCAATAACAACAGTTGATTCAGCTGGAGAAGTTTGCTGTCATTGTGAGTGCAATAACAACAGTTGATTCAGCTGGAGAAGTTTGCTGTCATTGTGAGTGCAATAACAACAGTTGATTCAGCTTGAGAAGTTTGCTGTCATTGTGAGTGCAATAACAACAGTTGATTCAGCTTGAGAAGTTTGCTGTCATTGTGAGTGCAATAACAACAGTTGATTCAGCTTGAGAAGTTTGCTGTCATTGTGCAGATGATTTGATTTTTTGATCATCCTTAGAAATAGGAAAAAACTACATTATTAAGGAACAGCATTAACTGATTTACCGAGGAAAGAGCACTAACATCTGGACCATTATTTCTAATGTAGTTTTGGGGGGAAAAGGAGTGTGTTGAGACAGAATATATTTCATAAACTTTGTCCTCAAGGTAAAACAGTTTAATTTTAATGGAGTTGATTCTACTTTTGTCTTTTCCCTAGCCTATGCTGGTATAAATGAGGAGCATCCATTATCCACTCCCAAGATGGATGACATCCACTCCCAGCAGAGCTTGACCCGCCTCCAGCTTGGCACTTACGAGACCCTGGAAAATGACTGGCTCATAATAGCTCAGGATGAAGGGCACGTTGACGAAAGCTGGTCCAACGTGGCAGACAGCCCCTGCATCGGCCCACACGACTCGAGTGTGGTCACAGAAAACACAATAAACTTACCTGGTCAAAGTGTGGTAAAAACAGTTCCAGGCGTTGGGCTCAGTCCAAGCAGCCCTTCACAACAAGTGAATGGTGTGAGGCAGGAGGGTGAGTCTGAAATCTTCTCACAGCTCATGCACGACGGAAGTTGTGTTTTCCCGTCAAATTCTGACAGAGTGAAGGTTTCTTCTTCGGACTCGGTTGGTAGCCTGGGAAGCTCAACAACTTCACCTGTCATACCCCAAACAAATGTGACGGCCGGTGCTGCTGGCAGTCGCAAGGGCCACAACACATCATTCAACTTAGTCAGGCTTCAAGAGCGGGCCAAACTTGTGATGGCTGGGGCACAGAACTTGTTTTCAAGTCTGACTTCATTTATCCCTTCCTCTGGGGACATCCCCCCTCACCGAGCCTCTGTCAACCCTAAACCATCTAAATCACAATCAGAAACCCACATACTTTCACTTCAGGCCCACACGCTTTCACCTCAGGTCCACACACCGCCTCTTGCAGCCATATCATCCCCTCCTGACCTTGACCCTGAGGTCACGCACCCCGTGAATTCATCCAGGTTACATCTTCCTCACAGCTTCAGTTCCCCGAGTGATATATCATTTCAGACGCCGTCAGACTCAAGGGACACGACCGATGCCGGTCCTCTTGTCTCTGACGGGAACGGCTCATCACGTCACAACAATTCTTCAAAGGGAGGCTACATTTGCAGTACTTTAATCCCGTGTGATACAAACTCCCCAAACTCAGTGTCATCCTCTCATCCAGACTCATCTCAGGAATTTGACACGGCTCTCTCCTCCCCCTACACTCCTACCCCAGATCAAGTCAGGCTAGCGGGATTTGCTCATGATGATGCTCATTGTACTACTGTGCACACACAAGAACCAACTGGTGATGCAAGTATTGGACATGTACTCAGTGGCAATCATCATCATAATATTACAGAATTTGAGGGGCCACCTGTTGGTTTGTGTGACAGTGAAGACAATCATTGTTTGACATCTAACTCAACCCTGGGACAAGCAGGTGGCATTTCTGATGACTGGTCAAAGAATGACGCTGACCAAATCTTGACTGACGGTAGTGACCTCTGTGGCCATGAGGTGTTCATGACTGAACCATCACTCAATGGCGGCTTGTTGTCTGGGGATGTGACCAAAGTCAAGGAAATATTGACTGGTGACCCTCCTGAACAAGGGCCCTTATCTGACAATATGGAGACTTTTGTCTGTGAAGACAACCTTTCCAGTGGAGCAGTGTCCCCTGACATGCTGGTGGACTTGCCTGAAGAAAACAGACAGCTTCTGGTAGACGCCATGGAGACGCTTGAGTCGATAGACTCATCCCCTGTTGATGGGTTAGGTGATGTGGACAAATGTGTTTTGTATACACCATTAGATGTACGACCTCAGATAGGTAACACTCATGTAGATACAGTGTGTCCCGGCAACTCTGAGTGTGATGAACATTGTGTCAGTGTGACTGACCCAGCACCTCAAAAGTCACTGGTCGCAAGTAAACCACCCAGCACTTTGAACTTAAAGTGCACATCCTCCGTGGACGCTAAAGTGGTCAGGTCAGATACAAGTGTTTGTAGTCCCACACCGGATGTGACATCTGTCTCAGCCCATCCAGTGAAAGCTGGATTACCCCAGCATTCCAAGCTTATCCGAAGTGGCTCCGCCCCTGTCCTTGTCTCCACGAGTCATCCCGGTGAATTAGACTCTCAGCCCTTGTCTGCACTGACATCAATCACAGGATTTGCACATCTCTATAAGGTCAGTGCAGCCTGTAACATTCAGGTTTTAATAATAAAATACTTGTTGGTCCTATTTTTAGTGAGACAGATCGGACAATGGCGCCCTGTTTAGGTTAACTGTTATCTGCTCCATTTAAATGACATTAGTAACAGAATATTAGCCCAAAGAGATGTCATTTGATGGAGTGCCTGGTCTGTGTTGTAGCTTTGACTCAAATAGCACTATCAATAGTAATGGTAGATCTTCAATTTAATTGTTTGAAAATGATAATATTGCTTAGATATTAAAATGGGTGATATCCAACCATAAGGAACAGAAGCATTGCTTACATCCAATTTTTTTTATTACAATATTATCATTTTCAAACAATTTAATTTAATAATTTCAACCCAAAATAAACTAGAGGGAGATGAGGAAAATAGATTACTTCATCACCAAATCGGTCAAATGCTACCATAACCTCATTAAGAAACTATCAGTAATTACATAAAGACACTTCTTCTTTATTTTGAGTATGAATATCATTATCAGGAAAATCATTTTTAGAATTAATTCAAAAGAAAATTTTTGAAATGCTATTCCTGAATTTGCACAGTTAATAAATAAAGTTCACTTGACATGTTAAGTTTTGTCTACCACTGCCACCGCTCTAGATCATAGATTACATGCATTTTAATTTTTTTCGACAACTATTTTAGATCAATGATCAGATACATTTTAAGTTTTGTCTACAACTTACTATAAATAGATAATAATAATAAAGTTTATTTGAAAATCACGCTTCATGCCCAAAGGCTCGTCGTGCGATTACAAAGTCAACCATATTAAAAGATCACATACATGTTAAATTTTGTTTACAACTGTTTTAGATAATAGATCACATACATTTTAAGTTCTTTCAAGAAGTGTTTTAGAATGAGGATAAAAGATTTTTGCTGAACTTTTTCAATACAAACTTAAACATTTCTGAGAAAGTCCCAATTAATAAATAAACCTTATTAAAAATATTTCTGCATGTCTGTGTTTCATCTTTTAACAGCTGCTTCCTATGATATTTTGTCATTTGATTCTTGTTGGAATTATTGACTTACCATGATGTCTGTTAACATCAATTTCCTTTGTCTGCCACAGACAGGGATGTCCCCAGCAGACTTTGACACACAGAATTTCTCCAGCCACAGTCCACTCCACAAGCTGAGGAAAGCTCCAGTGGTCAAGAATCCCTACATGTCCCCTTTGCTGGCACCGGATGAGCTACTGAAAGGCTTGAAAAGAGTCTGCCTTGTGGTGAGCAGTTCACTTGATCCCAGTGCTTCTTCGTTTGTATCAGCCATTGGCTGGTGTCGTCTCTCAGTCTCATTGTTTGCTTTCTTAAGTTTTCAATATATACATTGAGTGATGTTTCCCGAATTTATGCAGAAGAGGTTGGGGGAGTGTAAATTTTTATTTAGATTCTTATGCTTATCCCCCATGCACAGCTTTGATCTTAATACATGGTGGAATTGTTAGGAAATATTTTAATTGGCATTTTATTGATTAGTTCAGTTTATAAAGTCATTACTTTAAAGAAACAATGCATAAAAGGTACCTTGATTTCAATCAAGTATTCTCTTAATATTATCTCGAGCTTTCTCTGCAACTGAAATGAAACAGTTAATCCATGTCACAACAGGCCTGCCATCTGGACCCACTTCTTGATGATTCTGTCAGCTTCGCCAGGAGGCTCCACAAACTTGATGTGCCAGTAGAGCTTCATCTTGTTGACGATTTGCCCCACGGGTTCCTGAACTTTGCACTTCTCAGTTACGAGGCCAAACAAGCTTCTGATTTCTGTGGCAAGAAAATAGCTGAGCTCCTTCAGTCCACTGGGGTTTGATGACGGTTACTTTTAGAGCTACCACATGGTTTATAATAAAAACTTGACTATTTATTCTCATGAGGACAGAATGGAGAGACAAGCAGCCATTGACTTGTAGGTCCCCTGAGGGGTCTGCATACGTGTCAAAGTTTATCTGAGGTCCAGAAATGAACATACCTCCCTTTTTGTCAATTGTGCTTTTCTGTGTTATATATACTTTGCTCTTGTGAGTTATCCTTTTCTACAAAAAGTTTTGGGACATTGACTGTAATTTATACTATTGGGACATTGACTCTAATGCTAGATTATAATTAGACACCAACAATTTTTGTCAATATAACAATATAAGGTAAGCTTTAATGATAATTTACAGAATACAAAAGTATACGTTACGGCACATGCCTTCAACAGTAAAACAAAAAGACAAATAAGTCTAAATTAAATACAGCTTTAATCTATTTTAAAGCTTTATTGCAGTCCAACACTTTTTATAATTAGTTACTCTAATGCTACCATACTATTGGGACATTGACTGTAATGCTACCATACTATTAGGACATTGACTCTAATGCTACCATACTATTGGGACATTGACTCTAATGCTATCATACTATTGGGACATTGACTCTAATGCTACCATACTATTAGGACATTGACTCTAATGATACCATACTATTGGGACATTGATTGTAAGGCTATCATACTATTGGGACATTGACTCTAATGCTACCATACCATTGGGACATTGACTATAATGCTACCATACTATTGGGACATTGACTCTAATGCTACCATACTATTAGGACATTGACTCTAATGATACCATACTAATGGGACATTGACTCTAATGCTACCATACTATTGGGACATTGACTGTAATGCTACCATACTTTAATGCTACCATACTATTAGGACATTGACTCTAATGCTGCCAAACTATTAGGACATTGACTCTAATGCTACCATACTATTGGGTTATTGACTCTAATGCTACCATACTATTTTTTACATCTAATGCTACCATACTATTAGTACATTGACTCTAATGCTGCCATTCCATGGGGACATTGACTGTAATTCTACCATACTATACTATTAGAACATTGACGGTATAGCATCATTTTATTGGGAATTGACTCTAATGCTTCCATACTATTGGGACATTGACTCTAATGCAAGGTTCTTGCATGGTGTCTGCATTAGAAATAACGACTGAAAATTGAAAATGGTTGGGATCATGATTGCAAGTTGGCATTAATGGATATGAGGCACGGGTGGGTTGTGGCAACCCATGCCGATGATTCTAATATGAGGGGACTGTTCCTAGACGACCATTTTGTCCCAGCTACTTTGTGAGTGTCTGACGGCACCAAAGGTTGGGTAGGGGTGGACTCTATGACGTTAATATAACCATTGCAGTACCAGGAAGTACAATGGCTGGTATTGTACGGGCAACACTACCAATTGGGTAGGTGCTTTTTGGTTGCCACTGCCCCGGCTTGGCTAGTCAATCGAGTAGACTGGGGGTGGGGGGGGGGCTGTCTTGGTGGCGGAGTGCTCCTGGTGTGCCTTTTAGTTTAAGAGTGAGTACACTGGGAAGAGCATGATGAGCCTAGGCTCCACAGCCTGCTGTTTTTCTTAGATTAGTGGATTAGATAAATCATTTACTATTCTTTAAACTGTATAAGAGATATAGAAACAGTTTACTAATTGTCTGTGAATTCTGCTACTTAAGTTGCAAGTACATTACTGTTGGCTAAATAGGATTCAGTTTTTTTGTGAACAATATTTTATTATAATTTGAGGACTCTACTTATGATGTGGGATTCCCATAACAATTTAATAAAGCAGCTCCAGCCATTTTTTTTAGAAACAATTGAATTAATACATTTTTTTAGTATTGTTTCACACAGAGGAACTGAATTCATTTATTGTTTCACACAGGGGAACTGAATTCAATTCATTTTTTTTTTCACACAGGGAACTGAACTCATCTTTTGTTTGTTGATTGAAATTGTCTTTATTTTTTTGTTTTAGCATAGACATGTTAAATTTTGGTCTTTTTTGATGGTGTCTTTTACCTCAGTTGCAATTTTCTTTCTCCCTGCGTTCACCTCACCCCCCAAAAATAACTGCCTTGCTGAGATTAGTTGATTCAACCTAGCTATTTTCTCATAGCTGGGGACAACCCAGATGAATTAGATACAGGTACCAAAAACCTCTTGGTGGGGTGACAAATAATAACAATGCGCCACAGTACCTCAAAATTAACTTCATTAAAATACAGAGAAAAAAAATAGTTAATTTGGAGGCACTGTCTTATCTGTTCAAGCCTAAACATAACTGGTTCCACTATTAATTTACTTCATAAAAATGACAGATTAGTAGTATTTAGTGTCTGACTTCCAAGAAACTTCACTGACCAAGCACACAAGACATATTTTTGAGGGCTAAGAAATTCAATTTTTGTCAGTTAAAAATATATAATATTAAATTAGTTATCACTTTATTTATGTGTTATAGAACAATGAATTGTATGCTTAGTAGTACTAGTATAGGGCTGGCATTTGGAGTAAGAAAAGGGTATTAAGTAGTACTAGTATAGGGCTGGCATTTGGAGTGAGGAAAAGATATTAAGTAGTACTAGTATAGGGCTGGCATTTGGAGTGAGGAAAAGATATTAAGTAGTACTAGTATAGGGCTGGCATTTGGAGTGAGGAAAAGGTATTAAGTAGTACTAGTATAGGGCTGGCATTTGGAGTGAGGAAAAGGTATTAAGTAGTACTAGTATAGGGCTGGCATTTGGAGTGAGGAAAGGGTATTAAGTAGTACTAGTATAGGCCTGGCATTTGGAGTGAGGAAAAGGTATTAAGTAGTACTAGTATAGGGCTGGCATTTGGAGTGAGGAAAAGGTATTAATTAGTACTAGTATAGGGCTGGTATTTGGAGTGAGGAAAAGGTATTAAGTAGTACTAGTATAGGGCTGGCATTTGGAGTGAGGAAAAGATATTAAGTAGTACTAGTATAGGCCTTGCATTTGGAGTGAGGAAAAGGTATTAAGTAGTACTAGTATAGGGCTGGCATTTGGAGTGAGGAAAAGGTATTAAGTAGTACTAGTATAGGGCTGGCATTTGGAGTGAGGAAAAGGTATTAAGTAGTACTAGTATAGGCCTGGCATTTGGAGTGAGGAAAAGGTATTAAGTAGTACTAGTATAGGCCTGGCATTTGGAGTGAGGAAAAGGTATTAAGTAGTACTAGTATAGGCCTGGCATTTGGAGTGAGGAAAAGGTATTAAGTAGTACTAGTATAGGCCTGGCATTTGGAGTGAGGAAAAGGTATTAAGTAGTACTAGTATAGGCCTGGCATTTGGAGTGAGGAAAAGGTATTAAGTAGTACTAGTATAGGCCTGGCATTTGGAGTGAGGAAAAGGTATTAAGTAGTACTAGTATAGGCCTGGCATTTGGAGTGAGGAAAAGGTATTAAGTAGTACTAGTATAGGCCTGGCATTTGGAGTGAGGAAAAGGTATTAAGTAGTACTAGTATAGGCCTGGCATTTGGAGTGAGGAAAAGGTATTAAGTAGTACTAGTATAGGCCTGGCATTTGGAGTGAGGAAAAGGTATTAAGTAGTACTAGTATAGGCCTGGCATTTGGAGTGAGGAAAAGGTATTAAGTAGTACTAGTATAGGCCTGGCATTTGGAGTGAGGAAAAGGTATTAAGTAGTACTAGTATAGGCCTGGCATTTGGAGTGAGGAAAAGGTATTAAGTAGTACTAGTATAGGCCTGGCATTTGGAGTGAGGAAAAGGTATTAAGTAGTACTAGTATAGGCCTGGCATTTGGAGTGAGGAAAAGGTATTAAGTAGTACTAGTATAGGCCTGGCATTTGGAGTGAGGAAAAGGTATTAAGTAGTACTAGTATAGACCTGGCATTTGGAGTGAGGAAAAGGTATTAAGTAGTACTAGTATAGGGCTGGCATTTGGAGTGAGGAAAAGGTATTAAGTAGTACTAGTATAGGGCTGGTATTTGGAGTGAGGAAAAGGTATTAAGTAGTACTAGTATAGGGCTGGTATTTGGAGTGAGGAAAAGGTATTAAGTAGTACTAGTATAGACCTGGCATTTGGAGTGAGGAAAAGGTATTAAGTAGTACTAGTATAGGCCTGGCATTTGGAGTGAGGAAAAGGTATTAAGTAGTACTAGTATAGACCTGGCATTTGGAGTGAGGAAAAGGTATTAAGTAGTACTAGTATAGGGCTGGCATTTGGAGTGAGGAAAAGGTATTAAGTAGTACTAGTATAGGGCTGGTATTTGGAGTGAGGAAAAGGTATTAAGTAGTACTAGTATAGGGCTGGTATTTGGAGTGAGGAAAAGGTATTAAGTAGTACTAGTATAGACCTGGCATTTGGAGTGAGGAAAAGGTATTAAGTAGTACTAGTATAGGCCTGGCATTTGGAGTGAGGAAAAGGTATTAAGTAGTACTAGTATAGGGCTGGCATTTGGAGTGAGGAAAAGGTATTAAGTAGTACTAGTATAGGGCTGGCATTTGGAGTGAGGAAAAGGTATTAAGTAGTACTAGTATAGGGCTGGCATTTGGAGTGAGGAAAGGGTATTAAGTAGTACTAGTATAGGCCTGGCATTTGGAGTGAGGAAAGGGTATTAAGTAGTACTAGTATAGGGCTGGCATTTGGAGTGAGGAAAAAAGGTATTGCAGTAAATGAGTCCTTAACTTCTTAACAATCCAGTCTTTCAATAAAAGCCACAGATGTCTTGCCCAGTGTGTTACTGGGTCTATTAGATGTTTTCAGTTGGTAGTTTTCTATCAACAAAAATAAGCTTATTTATTACAAGATCCTCTTTTAGCTTTCTGTGATGAACTATTCCAGCTTACACTAGTGAAGCTGTTGAAAAAGTATTTTTGTGATAACTATAAGTTTACTTTATCTAATGGCACTTGCAAAGTCTGTGATTTCCTTGGTGAATTAAATGAGGACTTTAAGTTGTCATCTTATTAAATTTTTTTGTTACCTTTAAGCTTAGATTTGAATTACATAAAATATGATGTAATTTTCCTGTGATGTTAATCTTGTGGCTTAAGTCACTAATAATTTTAAATAACTCTCCACGTAACTATGTGTGTATGGCTGTAACGCTGTGTTCAATAGGTGCGCAAAATAAAATCCAGAAGTTGCCACTCATTATGTTTCTTATTAAATGCATTACTGGAATGCATGTAAGTTACTTAGTTTATGATAAGATCAAGCATTGTGGCTTTCTTTCTTTTGCAGGTTATTTCTTGACTTAAATTATAACTTTTAAAAGGTGGATCATGTCCCTCAATCTTACATATTCTCTTAACCAAGTAGACTAGGGACACACAAATTATTTATACCAGACCAATCAAGAAAATGGTAAAGCATTTTTCCGTTTTTTTTTAAAATTGCATTGAGTCAAAATAAATAATTAGTCAGTGTTAAATGGCAATCTTTTTTTTTTTTATTGCTTGTAGTTGAAGAACTTTGGCAACTCTGTTCAGATGCCCTAAAACCTAGTCTATATGGTGATTCAATAATATTGGACTTGAAGGATTATTTTCATCCTAAAGTCAAATATTTAGAGATGTCCTTTTGTTTTCATTATACTGTAGCCTGTGATTGTGTTCGTTTGTATTCTATTATTTAAAACATTTTATTTAACTAGACTTCATGATTTTTTTAAAACTGAACAAACTTTATTTGTCCATAATTTGTGGAGGCTTGGAAAAATGATTACTTGGTGGAATTTTTATTTTTAAAAAAATAAAAAATGTGTTAATTTCTAAATGTGTCCACACAAATAATATTTCAATTCTATTTGTTCATTTTGTGAGAATAAAATTCATATGAAAGTGTCATTTAAAATTTTATACTTTTGAGACATAGTAAAATTTTGTCACATATAATTTTCATCCATGAAAAAATGCAGTGTACCGGTATCAGCAAAGTTACTTATTCTGCTAATCTGTCTTTAAATTTTATCACTAAAAGAATGAGCCATAATCTTATTACTTTTCTATTGCAGCAGCTACTGCTACCATTCAATATGCTCAGCTTTAAATACTTTATTTATATATGACTCTGTGCTTCCATTGGTCCAAGGTACCGGTAATTGCATTTCAATAAAGCATTAATAGCCATCCAAAGTGTCCTCTCTTTATATTCATTATAATTTACATTTTAAACCACAAAGCTTTCTAATTTCTAAAAGAAAATTTTTTTTTAAATTTCTATTTTATTCTTAGTTGATTGTTTCACTTTGTATTCATATCTCTTTAGTTATTTTTAAGGTTCTTTTCAAATAGACCTCTTTTGGAGACCACAGAAATACATTTAAATGAAAAATATTTTTATATTATTTGAACAATTCTTCCTCTCAAATTTTACTCTAATCATGAAAACTATTTTTCAAATATTAAAGAATTTAGATTAGATTCTACGAATTTTTTAATGTGAATATTCTGATACATTTCCTTGAAGATTAAAGGCAAGTTCCTTAAAATTATTTGCTAGTTCTATTGGAAAGTAAACAAAAGGCTGTAAAGATAAGGGGTTAAAGTTGGATTATAGTCGTTTTAAAGGAAGGCATAGTGAGAGGGAATTAAGCATGAACATGTAGGTGTTAGAACAAATTAGAAATTTGGAAAAATTAAGTTTGTGGATTTAAAAAGAAAATGTTTGCTTGTACCATATATAAAAGAAAAACTTTATATTTACTTACACATATGAATTTAAATTTATACCCCTTGTTAATTTTTGTGTAAGGTAAGTTTCTATCATGCATTTCTCTGGATCAAAAAATCATCATCATCAGTAGAAGTAAAGCGGTATTGAAATTTTGAGAGACTAACACAAAAACCTAACCATAAAATTATTTAAACATAATTTTATTGTTATAAAAATAACATGCCAGTGGTAAACAAAGTTCTTTTATATTTCAGTTGAATTAATGAAAAACATTCAGTTTCTGTACTCACCCATCAATCACAAAATTCAGTTATGTGTTATCTACAGCCTAAACAATTACCATATTTTAAATATGTACCACTTTCAAATCGTACAGATTTTTAAAAAACTTACTTAAGTGTAAGATGAGAAATTATTTTTTTTAAATTGAACACTTTATTATTTTTATTAATACAAACTTTAATGAACCAATCCACACATTCTTTGATCATGGTTAGACAAACAATGGCCCATCCTAACACCAGTAGTCCATGGTCACATACCTTCATCACATAGTATTGCTCACAAAGCTCTCACATCCACCAGTTTAGACAAGTAACAAAAGATCTTTTCTGCGCTCTTAGGGTTCTTTAAATGTTAAAAAACCATATCACCTCATTATGCATCAGGTTATGAAGATGATATAGGAAAAGATAGCATTTATTATCAATTAGACTAAATACATGACCTAAGGCTGGAGTGATCTAATTTCAAACAACCACCAATCGAGCAAAATCTACTTTAAAAAACTTTAAACTTATACAAATGAAATCTTTATCCATTCAAACAGATTCTGATCAAAGCAAAAATCATTGAAATGTGAGGATAAACATGAACCCTTCAGAAATGTCAGGCATGTCAATTAGTCAACCCTCCTCTTCAATGAACCTATTAAAAAAAGTAAAAACTTTGTGGATATCATTTCCAAAACTCAAAACTTGTATCAAATTAACAACAAAACATTATTAAAAATAATCTGTCAAAAATGTGAAGTTGATATATATTGTTTTTTTACTCTCATTAAGTTGCTTTCAGGCCATTATCAAATGTTTCAAGGCTATAGGGAAAGATTTTTTAAAGTAGTACCGATAAATGAAAATATTAAGGAGGTATATTTTTAAAAATTTAAGTTTGATATGTGAAAAGTAATTATTTGTACAGCTATGGGGTAGAATGAAGTGTTAAAACGATACTGATCTTTTTATGCAATTTGAAATGTGTAACTGGCAAACTAATAAATGTTCTCTTATTATATATAGTTGCATAATTATTACCATTATATTCTAGACAAAAAAATGTTAAAATTCTGAAGCCAAAAGATTAATTTAAAGTCTAGATCTGACCCAATCACTTAAGCTCTGATCATGGTAAACATTGTTCAAAATAAAATCCATTATCAGATCAAACATTCACTATGCCATTATCTAAACTTTTGAAAAGATGGTGCTCAAAATAAACAGGTAATTATCTAATGAAATGTTTTTTTAAAAACTGTTTTCAGAATAAACTTTGGACTGGGAAAAAGAAAAAATTGCTTATTTGTGAATTCCACTGTTTCAGCATGGATTAATGGCTGATTCTTTGCATTGGGTCTGTGGACAGTCGGGTATTGTAGCATATCTAAATCTAAACCTTTGTTTTCCAGGAAAAGCTCTCAAGATTATTGGTAATCTCTGCTTGCATTAAAAAGGTGTGCCATTAACTGATCTGGCTAGTTTTCAACATACTGACTGACATGTTATGCCTTTCCCTTCCCTGTCATACCTTACAAATATTAATTTTCTAATGTAACAATTTAAAGGAGTCTTCAAATTGATACCATATGCTCCTAATACAGCATGCACATAAATGGTAGGTCACAGATTAATGGACATGCAAGTTCGATCCACTCAAAAGAGCTTGACAAAACCAACTTGATATTTTCATTATTTAAAAAAAAACATTATGTACATTATGTGAACTCGACCAATCTATAACTGCTATTTGTGGCAGCCAGTTGCAAATGAATCTCAAAGAAATAAGTGTGAACAGGTAGAAATACAAAGCATTGTATCAGCCAAGGAAAAATGCTATGATCAATGGATGATGCCATGTTTCTTAAGTTTTTTAAAATATTTTTTTTTAAATTAATGTTCTTGTTGATATAATGGCACTGAGCCTTCATATTATAAAGCCATACAATTAACTGTTTTTTCAGCTTAGTGGAGGAATCCAGTAGAATCTACTAAAATGGGAACCCTACATGTCAAATGATTAAAGATAATACATTTAAAAAAATGAAATCTTATACTGCTGAAAAAGAGACATAAGGCCAGTTGAAATCATAGAAAAGTTACTTCAGCAACTCTAGGAACTCCCAACAATTAAGATAGTTGTATGCAGAGATCTTGATGTACACAAGTTCAAAGCAGGACATTATCAAAGTGTTAACATTTCCATTATTATAATAATATATTCTTCTAATATTGTTAATTTGACCTAGGAAGGCCCTATCTCATCCAATGATTATTCCCATACCGAAGCGATATTGATTTTTCACATGGTTGGCATAGCCACTTAGTGCAAGAGTAAAGGGGAATGGTGCTAGCTTTTTCTCTAGTACAGCTCCTATACACCAGTTACTATCCACTTGGCCTGAAAACCAAAATAATAAAATAATTATATATGTAAACAGGTTTTTAAACGTTTAAAAAAGACAATCCTCATCACTATATTTGTCCAAAAAAGTATATTAAATCAAGGAAAAATCTTCTTTTTTTTTAATTGTCCTAAAATAACATCTGTGATCAACTATTTCACTAAGTAACTGGATAATGCTCATTCTGAATGAAATAATCTTTTAAAAGACTTCAGTCCCCACTTTTCTTACATTACATCCCCAAATAAATATATTGTGTGTATAGTCAATTGAATGGTTGGTATTTACAATTAATAATGAAAAATTTGTCCTCAATCAAAATATGAAACGAAATTTATTAAAAAAAACAACCAAAAAAAATTATAAATTTAAAAAGTTGCATTTTCAAGTTCATGTATTTTTAGAATCAACATAAAGGGATTTTCCTTGAAAAATAACAAAAGCAGCTATTGCTGGATTGTCATAGACATTCAAATTCAACCTATTCAAGATGTTGTTGGTTTGTAATAAACATTAAACCCATGTTGTGAACTAGTTTGTTGTGAATGTTGGGTAGGGGGAGTCGTGAATCGTGAGAGTGTTTTGTGGGTTGCTGATCGTGAGGTCAGAGCGTGAAGTTAGTCCGTGGTGTGGAACGTTTGCGTAGGCCGAGTTGTTTGTGTGGTATTATAAAAGGGATGTGTGTTAGCTAGAGGTCAGAGAAGAAAGGTAAAAGAGCAAGAGAAGAATTGTTAGTCGTCGAAAGTTGTCAGTCAAGAGTTGGTAGCGATAGGAGCGAGTGACACATTAGTCGAGAGAGTAGTGCTAGGAGAGTGGATATTGGTAGTTGGACTGACGTGTATCCTTTTTTGTAAAGTATCTAATAAATTATTATATTGTTACACTGGACCTTGTGTTTTATTTGAGAGATTCATACACCCTAGACAACGCAAGAGGGCCGTAACATTTCAAGTATAACAAAGGTCGTAACAATAGACATTCAACCCATCCAAGATGTTGCTTGTTTGCCATAGACAATCAACCCATTCACTATGCCATTTTTTACTGCCATTAAGTAGGTTACTGAGCGGACAATTCAACAGGTTTAACATTACTATCAAAAATAAAATGTGACAAATTCATGTACTTTTTTAAAATTTAGAGCAAAGGCAGCACTTACCTCTAAACGTGACTTCAGCTTTAGGAATGTCTATTTGATAGGCGACTGTTGCCGTGCTTTCCGCCATGCGTAAGCTCGTCTCTAGCTCCACCCCAACTTGTAAATTTTCATGAACTTTCTGGTAAAAGCATGTATGGAGATTGCCAGCCATAGGACTCAGATTTGTACTCAGCTGCCATTTTTCACCTGTAACATATTAACAGATTGACACATTTTAAACACTTATTATTCCCTGTTACATATATATAACCATAACAACATGATTAAATAATTCAAGGAATGCTCCCTACCTGACCATCGACCAGCTAAGGACATAATAGCTATTTCCCCTCCAGGCACCTGCTGCCCTCGTTGATACATTATCTCAGCTCCCAGAGCAAGACTTGGTGTGATGCGCTGCAGGTAATGGCCTACTAATAAACCTGTCAGGGTAAAAAAAAGGGAATACATGTCATCTACTTGCTAGAATAAATTTTCCCAATCTGACCAAATGAAGAAAAAAAATTGTATGGTGTTCTGTCATTTTATATCATTTTTTTTTAACCCAGTGACACCTAAAAATGATTCAATATGTGACTTTGAAATACTTTAAAATGCATAAGCAGCCTCATGGAGTATTTATGCAGTTTTTCACACTGAATCTTATTCAAATATGGGTTAGGAATTATTTAGGCTTCAACAATCACAACATTAACAAAATTATGCAAGGAAGACATATTTATTCCACCGTTTAGTGAAAACAAAAAATTAAAAACATTTTTGGTAAAGTGAAGTCCAGGGATCTGTCTTCTTGGAACCTACAGTCCAAAAAGGCTCTGTTTCAAAAGTGTTGAAAAATTACAACAAATTATCGTTTAAATTTTGTTAATTCTGGATTCTTTTCAGAAGATAAATTGATAAATTTACCTGAGGCAGAGAGTGGATCTACATTTCCAGTGGTGAGAGATGCAGTAAAATCATCTCCCTTGTAATCAAATGATACCTGTTGGCCCACACATTTGTTAGGCTGAAACTGGTTAGAGGAGAGATATTCAAACTGTGTTAGGCATTTATAGGAAAAATCAATGCAAAGATTTTATAAAAAAACATTAATTTATTACAAATGAAAGAAGAATACACACTGTCAACACTAGACTCTCGGTGTTCACAATTAGTTTATCTGAAAGAAAGATCACTTACATTTCCCCAACCTTCATATTTATTGTAAATATAAAACATCTACAGTATTTTAAAAAATCAATAGCAAAAAGAAAGAAATCACAAATTCATTGGTTCATAACAATTATATTTGTATCACAGAAAGTGTCAAATAGGATGGTTACCTGTGCCACAAGCTTTGCCCTGATCCTGTCAGTAAAGGCGTGGATAATGTTGGCATTCATGTTCCCACTTGAATCTATATCACCGAGTAACACTGGGAAAGACTTCAAACAATATTAAATTTAACAACAATCCATTGAATCAAAGAACATAAAGTGTGAAATAACATCTTCATTTTTAGCACATAATGTTTTCTTAAATTAATATGTAGAAGATAAAAATAGAATAGTAATCTATCCCTATAAGCATTAAAAAAAAACATTAAGTCATAAATGTAAGTAAATCTATTTACCTCAGTGGGTGAAAGCTGTTTTGTGCCAATGTATGTTGTACCAAAGCGATAGACTGATGGTGTGAAGGTACTCAGGGTTATAGTGTGGCTTATTTGAAAATGGCTGCTTAAGCCTTTAGCAACAATAACCTTTGCTCCTTCAAATACTTGTGGAAACAAATCTGGATAATGTGGTTAAAAGAAGTTTTACAATTAAATAGCAATCATTCAATCATAATTGTGATAAAATATATGGCATCCATATCTATCAAATGGAAATTTCCATTAATAATCTATTCTAACAAAAAGAACAAATAACTTGGATGGGGTGACAGAGCTTTGGCTGCAGATGATTTCAAAGTAATCCAAGTGGCAACATGCAACACTAACAGTGTTGAAAAACACTAACAGTGTTGAAAGAGGCCTTTAATCCCAAAAACATCCAGTTCTTCAAATTACATAAGGTAAATAAGTTTTAAGGACCTGCATTCTTAGATGATGAACACACATTAGATGGCAGTTTTTCTATTAGTAAAATGGGAAAAAGACAGATTTTCAAAAGCTCAAGAGAAAATTTTAACAGCTTCACTTTCACATTAAATTCATTAAGTGAACACTATTTGATTATGAAATTACATAGGTCATACGCATTTGTTCATCTTTAAATATACTCATTCAAGGTCAGTTGGGAAGAGTACTGGCATGGCCAGCAAGGCGTTTTCACCCTCTTTTTAAAAATATTTGTTACTACTGTTACTGGCCTGCCAAATAGTATCAAATCCAGACCACATAAAAGAAACTCGGGGTAAATTTACGCAATCTGCGCCACTCATTTCTCAATATTTTTCCACTACTTAAGTTTGGCATGGCAGACATATCATCGCAATAAAGCTAGCAGCAGTGAAAAATTCACCTCTAATTGTGCTACAGTTACACAATATACTGAGAAAATCATAAAATTTAATTTAAAAAATGATTTATTTAAAAAATGATTTTAAACATTTTTTAAATATTAAAAATAATGAAAACACAACTTACTATTTCATCAAATACATTTTTACACAATTTATAAATCTAAAAGGTATCAGAAAATTAAAAATCCATTATTTAAATGATCAGTTGATCACACCGGAAAATTAGCCTTGTTTTGATATGTAGTTAGTCCTTCGAAGTCGACTGGGACCATCGAGTCATCCGGTTAGGGGGAGGGTGGGTTACGGTGAGTTCGTAGGTGACTTGCTAGACAGATCCGTGCTCGGAATAATCTCTGGCATCGCGGGCATGGGATAGTTGATGCAGTCGTGACCTAATGTTGCTCTTTCGGGCAAGCCTGCATGTCTCAGCTGTGGTTATCCAATTAGCTTCATGGGATTTAGCCCCCTTCTTGACAGCTGCTCTCCACCAGGCTCTGTCCCGGGCTGTCTGCACCCATTGAGTAGGGTTGATGCTGAAGACCTTTAGTGCCACTTTCAGTGAGTCTTTGTAACGCTTTTTTTTGACCTCCTTGGAAGCGCTTACCTGTCGTGAGTTCTTCGAAGAATATCTGTTTCAGGAACCGGTGGTCTTCCATACGGGCTACATGTCCCATCCAACGGAGCTGAGACTGCATTAGGGTGGTGAAGATACTAGGTAGGTTCGCTCTAGCGAGGACCTCTGTGTCAGGGACTTTGTCTTTCCACCTGATGCCAAGGAGTTTCCTGAGGCAGGTTGTGTGAAAATGATTCAGTTTCTTGACGTGACGCTGATAGACTGCCCACGTTTCACATCCGTAGAGCAATGTCGAGAGGACTGCTGCGTTATAGACCTTGATCTTCGTTTCTCGTCTGAGACTTCTCCTGTCCCAAACAGGGCTGCGGAGCCTGCCAAATACGGCACTAGCTTTTGCAAGTCTGCCATTCATTTCATCATCCATGGTGTTTAAATATAATAATTAATGAAGCACCCAATAATGAAATATTATTTTTAAAAAGCAAGCAATCAAAAATATGCCATCTGCGTATTTAGTATCATTATGAAAATAAGAAGAGTTAACTCTAGTAACAATTTATGAATTAAAAATGGGGAGAGAATCCTACACAGAAACTCTAACTCAAGGTGGCACAGATTGCATTCATAAATCGACCAAACTTTGATTACCCCTGCATCAGCTCAAGACCATACCTGCCCTTGTTTGGTATCACTTAGCTTAGTTATTATAAGTGAACTAAAAACTAGGAACTCAGTCTTTACCTTTTTAAACTTAATTAGTCTTGACTTAAACAAGCAAGATTTACAGGGTAGGCCTAGTCAGTGGGCCAGTTTCAGTGAGACCTGTGTCAGCCTGTGTAGTTTGTAGTGTAGGCCTTGCTTGGGCAAGCTTGATTAACACCCAGCCAATGTTTAATTTAATTTGTTTCCATCTTTAAAATGATATTTACCTTTGGTTTGTTTGTGGAGATCCTCATATAATCCTGGATTGACATCAGGTTCATTGCTCGAGGATCCAGGCCCGGCTGTTTCTTTAGTTTTTATTGTTTTGGGAATTTCAGTTGGAGGGGGTGGTGGCAACATTGGTGGTGATGGTACATCAACAAAGGTTTTAGGAGATTCAGCAGCACTTACGTTTCCCATTTTGATTGTCAGATGGCTGCACAAGGTTGAAGGGCAATAATAAAGCTAATAAAACGGCACAACGATGTTTATTTATTGTGCTTGATAACCTTCAACCGGACGCCATGTGCAAGTTAGAAAAGAAACAAATGTGTTGCGCATGTCCATGACAATAAGAGACGGATTCCGAGCCAACTTTTATATTGTTTCAAATTGTATAATCTCTTCTTCCTTCCCGAAACAAATTAAGTTATTTGGTGTAGGTTATAAGTTATAATTTATGAAAATTATGAATAGAGAAGATAAAAAATCCCTTGTAAAAAATAAAAATAAATCATGATAATAAAATAAAACGAATCAAAAAGACCAAAATAGCACTATTAGCATTTTATATAGGGGTTCTCAAAACACAGAGGACTTACTGACTTACAAATTTATAAATCAACCGCGACTAATGACAACACAAAGTCTCAAAGTTCACATAAATTTGGTCAAAATCAAAGTAATTTAATTTATCACAAAACTTTGAGTCAAAGCTGTGTGATGAATTAAATTTTACACTTCTTTGTATGCATCATTTAAGTTTAAGCCACACTTGTTATCAACAACAACAAAAATAGAGCAATGAACTCGGGTACCCATAGCCGCTATTCGGACCCGGGTCCCTTTAGACCAAATCCCATTCGGATGTCTTTTGTGGTAGTTCATTTTAGTTAAACTGAAGAAGTAAGTTTACAAACATATATTCCATTCCATTATCTTTCATTTGATACCTCATTTTATCTTACAAACCCAACAATAATATTTTTAATAGTTTTTTAATCCCGACCTCTCACTTCTGATACCCGGGTGCCACCACGTAAATGAAATCCATCAAAGTCTAAGATATTCCATGTTGTTACCAAATGTTGTACATCTGTGCAATTTTTAAACAATAATTCCTTACGAGATCATTTTTGTAATCATGTCATATAAAAATGAAAGATTTTTGACATGATGATTCATTTGCCCAAAATGTTATGTCAAAGAATTATCAGCAGTATCATCTATGAAATTTAACATTCAACATGCCAGGTTGCAGGATATCAAATACCTTGAATCCTTAGGTTCATATATCCTTAGGTTAAACTGCCTTCCCTTGCAACAAAATCTGAACTTTAGTGGAGGTAGAGACAACTTTTATCGTAAATATTTTCTGCAAGTGTCTCAGTGGTAAGTAATATTTATCCCATGAAAACCTTTGTCTCTGAATTTATTTAAATATGTTTATTCCATAAGTCTAAAAACCTTCGAAATCTTTTTTTTTTTTAAACAAATTTCGTATCTCTTAGATGCAGTAGCCATTTTGGATATGTGCCGTTCGGCCTGCGTTTGTGATGAAGAACTTAACTTGCCACTCTCTGCAGCTGTTCGATGAAGAACTTGCCACTCTCTGCAGCTGTTCTATGTATGTAGGATGTTAGTGTAGTCTGGTAGGATTTTGGTGTAGTCTGGTATAGGATTTTGGTGTAGTCTGGTAGGATGTTGGTGCACTCTGGTATAAGATGTTGGTGTAGTCTAGTCTGGTAGGATATTGGTGCAGTCTGGTAGGATGTTGTGTAATGTGGTAGGATGTCGGTGTAGTAGTAATTTTTCCATAAGTGTTACAAATAAATAAATAAAATAAAAATTTATAATAAAACTTTATGTTAGCAAAATAATTCTGATACTTAAACTTGTTGTTGTTGTTGAGCCTTCTCGTCCATGAGGGGCATCCACCGATCATCGTCGGCGTCTGCGGTTCCTCCAAGGGCATAGGCCACCTACGAGAGACCTCCAGGCATCTCTATCCTAGGCCAGCTTCTCCAGGATCTTCCATTCATGGCCAATTTTCTTGATGTCTGTCTCCAATTCTCGGCGCCAAGTGTTTCTTGGACGGCCTCTTTTCCGCTTACCCTGTGGGTTCCATTTCAGGGCTTGCTTTGTTGTGTTAGAAGCAGGTTTTCTTAGTGTATGACCAATCCACCTCCACCGCTTCTGGAGAATCTCAAAACTGTCCACCTCCTCAAGGGCTTCTCCTTCAAGCATAATGGGTGATGTACTGGTGGCATTAACCTTGAGGATTTTACTCTTCCCTTTGTGAATGTTGAGACCCATGCTAGCAGAAGTGGCTGCGACAATGTTTGTTTTCTCCTGCATCTGTTGTTGGGTATTTGCAAGAAGTGCAAGATCATCAGCAAAGTCAAGATCATCCAGTTGATCCCACAAGGTCCATTGGATGCCATTCCTTTTCTGCTGTGTAGATGTTTTCATCACCCAGTCAATGGCTAACAGGAAGAGGAATGGTGACAGCAAGCAACCTTGTCTCACACCAGTTTTCACCTGGAAAGCATCTGTCAACTGCTGGCCATGGATAACTCGACAGTTTATCCCTTCGTACATGTTTCTGATTATATCAGTAATCTTCTGTAGCACCCCGTAATGCCTTAGCAATCTCCACAGGGTTTGCCTGTCAACACTGTCGAAGGCTTTTTCATAGTCAACAAAGTTGACATAGAGCGGCGAGTTCCACTCTAGTGACTGCTCTAGAATGATGCGCAGTGTCGCTATCTGGTCTGTGCAGGATCTGTTGGTGCGAAAGCCGGCTTGTTCGTCCCGCAACAGAGGGTCTACAGCGTTTTTCATCCTGTTAAGTAGTACACGGTTGAAAACCTTTCCTGGGATGGACAGCAGGGTGATCCCTCTGTAGTTCGAGCAGGAGCTTAAGTCTCCCTTCTTTGGG